GAAGAGAGGAACAAATGATTGAAAAGATCATGATCTGACCCGGTTAATGGATGTTTGCATACAAATACCACATTAATTTTAAATTATGTAGTTTAGTATTTTATGTAAAAAAATATTGTAAATCTACGGCGTTAACATGCACGAGTAACTGCGCAATAAAAATTTCAATTAAACATAGGTTTAATTGTGTGAAAACTCTAATTATAGATTATTTTCTGAATTTCTATCTAAAAATATATATATAGTTGTAGGAATAACACCCAAATCGTTTTCTGTGTCAATAAATACACAGTCTAATGACATACGGCATTTTGCACTACACTAGCGTCACAGTACATTTATGAAAATGTATTTATGTCAAGAGGAATAGTAATTTCCTTATGTAAAATAGTGACAGACATAACATTAATTATTATACAACTTCTGCGTACGTTGGATGACAAAAATCCGTGGTAGTAATACGTTTAGCTCATGGAGGTAGTCTCGATTTCTGATGTTTGCAAACAAAAAAAAAATTATATTATAAATGTACGAATGTTATTAACAAAGAGCAACCCCTAGAGTTTCTTGCGCATTCTTTTCAGGGGAATCTGCCTTACGAATGAGCGGTAGAGTTTAACCAATGTGACGATTTCAAGGTAATAATGAAATAAAGATTATTTTGATTTTCATTTTGATTTTGAAAAAAACAAAACAGATAAATGTTTTACACTAACATGCGTTTTTTATATAAAATTTCATTTTTTTTATTCTAGATTTCCCAGTATTCACAGTAAAGCGACACAAACTATTGTAAAGTACAGTTTTCCATAAATCTTTTTTTTCTTTCAACTGCCTCTGTGGCCGAACGGTTACCATGCCGGAGTGCCATGCAAAGGTCCCAGGTTCGATTCCCGGGCCAGGAGAAATATTTGTATGGCCTACATTTATTTCTCTCGTGAATTTGGATGTAATTTGTGGTTATCTATGTGTGTGTGTCCATAGCAACCGCGACACAGGGTATCCCTAGTGCGGGGCTATGTTGAGTATGTACGTTATCATTATAAAAAAAAAACAAAAAATGATCTAGATTTTTTTCATTTCTGAACGCTGTTGTTATAGGTTTTTTTATTATTTGGTGGGCCATGATTTTTTAGCACTCGTTGGATGATTCCTAGTAGTTTTTAATTTCCGACTTTAAAATACAGGGTCATTTTTAAAATACTAACAACCTCTCAGGACTATATTAGCCACGTCATAAACAAGAACTTTTGTTCTATGACTTTTGACTAAACGGAATAAGTTTACCAAAAATAAACTTTTAAGATTTTGTTGTACTATCTGACACTTCTTTTTTGTAGTAAGGTAATAAGTTCAAACGTGGAAGCGTCCTCGGTGACGACTCTGTACTGGCGCTGGTTGTCTTTTTATAATATCAAGTGACAGCCTGTCCATAACAGTTGCATTGACACTCAGAAGTCGCAAAAATTTATGGGGCGCTGCCACTGCGCCCGTCACTCTGAGACATAAGTTGACAAGTCTCATATGCCTGTAATTTCACCAGTACCCATACCCTTCAAAACCGGAACACAGTAATGCGGACATTATTGCTTGGCGGCAGAAATAGTCAGTACTTCCCCGGACGAACTCTTTCACACGGAGCGCTACTGCTACTAAAATTACCTCAGGTCTTTGTGATTTAAAGTCTGACAGTGTGACAGTGCGGCTCAGAGGCTAGTTCGTTTTTATTCGTCGTATTTATGTAACCTATTTCCTTCACTATGTTCATAAAAATATAATTATATTTTCATAAATGTACTACAACGCTAATGTAAGAAAGTTAATTTCTGTATATTTATCTTACAAAGTCGCACGAGGCGGCATAGGCCGGGTACCCATTTGATGTTGGGATTTAATGACAATATTGTACCGGGTTCGATTCCCTAGTTTTATTTTCCCTAAGAGGGTAGAAAATCAAACCAAGAATTCAGAAAATTAAAAAATTGTAATATAAATAAAAATAATTTACAATTTAAAATTTCAATTAAAAAGAGAATTCAAGACGAAGGGGGTACATAAATTATTTAATACAGGTGGTGGTAACTTGTCTTAAGACTTTTGGTTTTCCGCTTCCGAGTACAGTACTTCCCTGTACAAACGCCGGCGCAGATGACACAGGACGAGGAGCAGTTGGTAGCTTAGCAAGGGTAGTTTTCCAAACCAAATGTGGCATAGCCCGAAGACGTTTTGACGCTGTCTAAGAGCAAGAGACGCCGGCGCGGCGCCGGTTTCGATGTTTTACCGCGCCTCCCCTTTCCTGCATCTCCGACATCATTCGAATATGCAACTTATGCTGCCATATATTTAACCAATTTGTCTATGTTAAGTCATGGTTTTAATTCTTTATAATTTATTATTATTTAAAAATAGGATATATTTGTTGCAGATAATATTTGTGTCAATTTTTAATAATGTTAAATTTGAAAAAAAAAAACAATTTATCCTAAAGTGAATTAAACAACGTTGTTATGTTCCGTTACAATATTTAGTGTTTGATACTTGATTTAATCTGTATGAATTTTTTATCTGATTATACTTAATGTGAAGTTGTGAGAGTGTGGGTACACCACAGCTGCACATACGAAAACATACAGTACATACGAAATAAAAAGAAAACAAAAGACATCGAATAGAATAGATAAAAAATTGTTTGGTCGTGCATTCATAATAACCAAAATAAAATAAAACAACTCAAAGAAATCCCCGGCTATCACATGTCAAATGATAACCTTACAATGTTGCAGTTAAACTGTGAATAACTTTAATTGTAATACATTTTCCACATATGAAAGATTTTTTCAATTTGCCAATTCAAAACACGAAGGCCCGTATTAATAATCCATCTCACGTGCAGAGTATCAATATTAAGTTGTTTATTAAGAGGGAGCAGAGGAAAAAGTCCTAATATTCAATTTGATTTTAGAGGGATGTATCCACTTTAAAGTTAAAAATAAAATATTGCATGAGTAACTACACGATATATTCAAGCATAGACATTAATCAGAAACATAAAACAATAAAGTTTCCTCAGTAGATAAAAATCACGAAATGACCTCTAATTTTCACATTTTTTCGATTTATCCTCGAAATGCTACAGGTTATTAGGACAAAAATTAGATAATTAATTATATTTATGCAACTGTCACTACGGATTTGTTTTTAATCCCTTTAGTTTTAGAGTTATTCCGCTAAACGAATTTGGTACTTTTAATGCGCAAAATTCAACATCTCCTATCGCATGTCACGCGAACTTCAGGCATACCTATATTTGTTTCACAAATTTGGGCGGAGCCAACGTCAAAACATTTTTGGCATGAGAGCTCTTAATAAACGATTACATGAGAAATACGGGACGCATAGTTTGAAATTTGTATCGAGTTCTCAAGATTACGCGATTGTGACAGTCAGCGTAAACGTTAATCTGATTAAAGAAAAAAACAAATATACGTGATTTGAGAATTGTCAGTAAGAGTTGACAAAGAAAAAAATGTAATTAAAATTTTTCCCGTACTGAATCAGTTGTATTGCGCGGGTCGTACGGCAGAGATACGGGCGTTATTTCAGATTTTTTTTTTGTAAAAAACAAACGGAACTAAAACCATTTGAAAAATGTATATAATTATCGTATTCTATACGTGTTCTATTTAGTTTAGTTAATATAAAAAAAAAAATTTGTATGTGTAAAGTTTTTATTGAATACAGCGGTTTTCTTGCAAAATTTCGAGGTAAGTTTGTGTTTCTGTTTTCATTGTGAACATTTTAGGAATCTGTTCAAAAGTGTTCACTTTTGCTATTATGCGGAATCAACCAAAGCTATTTGAGGCTGTAACGACTCTTAATAAATATCACTGAACACTTCTTCGTGTCGTGTCGATGGCATACACCATATTTTTGTAGCCGCAGACCGCGTCACTGGTAGCCGCCATTAAATGCGTGCAAGTATTGAGCATACAGAGCACGATGTGAGGTATTAATAGTGTTAGTACCATCTGAAAATCTGCTCTGTCTCTGGTGAAATTACAGGCATATGAGACTAGTCAACTTGTGTCTCAGGGATCACCCTGACCCCATCATGCCATGAGACATAAGTTGAAGCCCATCAGGGCGCAGTGGCCCATAAGATCTTTGCGATTTAAAGCTCTGAATGGCACTGCAACTGTTATGGATAGTCGTGTCGATTACCACAGGGCGCGCGACTTCTTCGTCCCATCACTTGGTATTAAAAAAAAGATAAGTATGTTGAGCTGACTGCCAACCTACATTAGTTGGAGCGGCACATTTTGGCAGCAGTAGAGTTTCTTGTGATAGAGTTCGTCCAGAGCAGTAGCGCCATCTTAGCTATTTCTGCTACCAGTAGCAAAGTGAACATTAATGTATTCCGGTGTTTGAAGGGGAACGGTGCTGGTGAAATGGGACTTGTCAACTTAAGTCTCAGGGTGACGGGCGCAATGGCAGTGCCCATTAGATCTTTGCCATTTAAACTTCTGTGGTGGCGCTGCAATTGCTATGGATAGGCGTGCTTACCACCAGACGCACAACGTGTTCGTAAAAAATGCCTTTTTTTAGCCGAGTTTAGAAAGGAGAAGGTTCTCAACTCGACAGTATGTTTTTTTTTGTATGTATGTTACGCGATAACTCCGGCTTTGTGAACCGATTTTGACGATTCTTTTTTTGTTGGAAAGAAGGTAGACCTCAAGACCTCAGAAGTGGTCCCATTAAAGGTCGATTTGTTTGAGGTCGGAGATTTGTTTTTGAGGTCGGTTTGTTTAGTACTCTGTACTGATTATAATTTATTATAATAGAAAAAAGGCATTTTGTCAATTTCTCTGGACACAACACAAAATGTCTCATACCGCTACTTCCCCACTAACACTTTTTATACATATAAACAAAATATATATATTCAGTCAATTTGCAACCGTAATCAGTATACAATAGACTCGTGTAGACAACAAACGAAAATGTCGTATAAAGAATATTTCTATACACAGATCATGTTAGTTTTAATAATAAATAGTGTATATAGTGAATTTATAGACCTGAATAGCAAAAGTAGTTTGACATTCGTAATAGATGATACAGGATCGATGAGCAACGAAATTCGCCAAGTAAAAGAGGGTGCGAAAAGCATTTTTGATACTGTCATGAATTCAAATTCATCTCAGATCGAAGATTTCATTCTAGTGACCTTCAATGACCCATGTAAGTCTTACTCATTCAAGTATAAGGTTTAGTAGCAGTAGAATTCCATGTGAGAAAGTTCGTCCAGGGAAGTACTGCTACTGTGCTACTGTACATCAGCAAACTCCAAGTGGTCACAGTTTCAAATCTATTTCGTTTCCAAGCGGAGATTATAACTCACCCCGTTCCTTGTTTTGTTGACTTTTTTTTTGTAAAAACCTTCACTTCAAAAAGGAGGAGGTTCTCAATTCGACTGTATGTTCTTTTTTTTTGTAAGTATGTTACGCGATAACTCCGGTGTTGGGGAACCGATTTTCATGATTCTTTTTTTGTTCGAAAGGGGGTACTTCCATAGTGTTCCCATTTCATTTTGAAGAAAATCATCCACATCTAAGGGTGGCTATTCACGCATGAAGATTCATTTTCATAAATAGCATTTATCCGCTCACGCGATGCGCTCCCCCTACCGCAAAATGGCGGCTATTCGGTTTAGCAAATTAGAAAAGCATTCAGTTTAAATACAAGTTTTTATAAATAGAAATTATTATTCTGCATTGCTAAATAAATCCCTCCGTACTACCAACAAAAACATCTCAAATAAAATGCAGTAATAGTGTATTACTGCATTTTATTTGAGATGTTTTTGCAAATCCTGCACTTAAAAAGCACTAATGAAATTTTTGGTGTACTTGGATAAATATGATAATATTCCGTTTGAGTGGTTCTAACGTTTACCATGAAATTACTCCTTAAAGTATAGTTTATAAACATTTATATTCAGGGTAAACTTAAAAAACGCTACTTACGGTATGTTTTCAATAAATAAACACCGAAATCTCCAGCCCAAACAATAACACACGATTGTCGTGACGTATTTTTGAAGTTGTTTATTTTTTTTAAATGACAGACCCAGGCATTAAAAACTTTATGGTTTGCTAGAGTAGTTACCGAAATAGCAATTAATATTACTTCTTTTACCTGTTATTACTTCGATATCCGATAAATCGGTATAAAATCATCACCGGCACCTCTAGGTGTGGGATGCGTCTACGGCTGCATGTATCGCGTGAGCGGCTAACTTTAATTTAGGAGCAATTGTTTTAATGGTTGATTTTGCTATTTCTCCAATTCAAGGCGTTTTTCTCTCAATATACTTTGAGTAGTGAGAACCGATTTTTATTATCTCTAGTGTCAAGTCCTGTATAGTGGCGAACTAGGGGATATTTCAATAAAACTTAGCAAATAGACGTAATTCCACGTACTTTTGAGGTCGGTTTTTTTAGTACTCTGTACTGAGATTATTAGTTTAGTCTGTTCCATGTAACATTAATATCGGTCGGTATGAGTTTTGGAGTATGGAAAGTATCCACTTTTTTATTTGCATAAGTACATTTGATTTATTCATTTATAAAGTCCGTGATAGTAAAGTTTCAATTTAGACTTGTCAATCTTTATCGAGACTTTAAAGGGAATACCTCGTATAAAATTTTTGTGTAATTTTTCGGAAAGAAGAATAAATGCGGTGCAAAATATCGTAAACACTGTTTTAGTTTTCAAGATTAGTGTTCCAATAAAATAATTCATTTTTAACTTATCAGCGAATGGTTGGGTAGTCAGATGCTTATTTACCTACAAGCATCGAGTATATAACCAGAAATAAAGACGAAATGTTATTTAATTTGTTTGAAAACTATTCTGCCAAATCATTACGGTGACAACTGCGCTCCGATTGGCCAGCGCAAATTCGAATTCGAAATCGCCAATTGTTTCACTTTAAATCGACCAGTTTAACTTGACCTTTGCTATAATGGACGAAAATTACAAAATTAAATATTCAATATTTAATTACCGATGAAATGTGATTCCGTTTGTTTTGTAATTGGATGTTTTGCTGTTTTTCCCACACCATCGAATGGAACAGCCCCCATTGTTAGAGATATTATTTTTATTGCCATAAATACAGTATATTTTTGGCATATACGGAGATGTATACAGGCCAGTTGTTGGCGCTGTACTCTTTCAGCTTTCTAGTTTGTGATTTCAGTGCAAACAACAGTTGATATTTAAAAGTGATATAAGGCCCATTTGCCTGATGAGTTGCCTGGGATGGATGGCCCTTACTTCGTCTCTATTTTTGGTTATATACTCAACGCCTACAAACTATTTTTTTCGAATCCCAGATTTCCGGAAACAGTTTTACTGCATTGCTAGACTAGTTTACTTTAGTTACTTCCATAGTATAATGTCCTACGGGATTCTTAAGGGTAAAGCGGCAAATATTCAAACCATATTTGTATTGCAAAAACGAGCGATTCGTTCTGTATACCGTCTAGGCTCTCGGGTTTCTCTCAGAGAAAAGTTTAAGGAGACTGGTATCATGACTGTGGCATCACAGTACATTTACTCAAATATTTTATATTCCCGTAAAAATATACATAATTTCAATAAAAAAGAAGATATCCATAATATTAACCTTAGAGCTAAATCCAAACTCATGGTACCACGATTTCGTTTAACGAAGGTAAACAACACTTTTATGGGGAACTGTATACGTTTTTACAATAAGATTCCGGAGCATATACTAAGTTTATTATTTCCTAAGTTTAAAAACTACATTAAAAATATTTTGATCGAGAAATCATATTACAAAATTGAAGACTACGTGTTAGATAAAGATGTATGGAAAGACGACATGGCTCCAGAATCCACACAAATTTGATTCAAAGTGTATTCCATAGCATTTAAGTTTATTTGAAAAGAGCAATCCCTAGAGTTTCTTGCTCGTTCTTCTCAGGGAGGTCAGCGTAGTGAACGAGCAGTAGCTTAAATGTGACGTTTTCAAGTGTAAATTTATTTTACCTATGGAATAAATAATCTTTGACTTTGACTTTGTATTGTAGGATAAATTCCATTCACTTAGAACGCTTGTGTTGGATTTTGGAGTATTTCTAGAGGTAAAAAATGTATTAGATAACTAACCTTTTATCAAAGTAAAAGTTTCAATTAAAATACTAAAATGTTCTATTTCAGCTACTTAGGTGAATAGTTTTATCTTACGATGCAGCAAAGTTGTGTCCGGAAATCCGGAATTCGATGAAAGTAATTGATTAATATAGATACAAGCTTACAATAGTAACGCATAGAATGATAGTTTCGTATCAAACGAACTGTCACAAGTGAGGCAAAAATCAAATTCATGTAGGCTAGTTTTAGTAGTAGGTTAATGTTCGGTTTTAGTTTCAACTTGTATTTTTATATAAATATATTAAAAAACAAGTTGAAACGCGTTACTTCCTTGTGGAATGTGATGTTAGTATCTATTTTATGTTTGTCTGACGTATTTTTACACTCATTTACCGCACATTTCGTCATTTTTAGCTAAAATTCTGGAGCTGTTCGCGGTGCAAGTTGACCTTGAGCACTGAAGGCCCGCCCGTGTAGGCCCTTTGGGAGCGCTTCAATTTGCCTCACTTAGCGTGTGCGGGCTAGGTTTCTATGCGTTATTATTCTAAGGATACAAGTAGTGATATGAAAGTGGTTAACACCATAAAATTTTGATTACATTTATAGACTTACTTATTTGGAACACCCTATTCCGATTATTCGTCATAAAGTAAGATTTTGTGCTTTATGTAATTAGAATAATGTCGGTTTTAGTATTTTACATCGACTGGCGGTTAATATCAATTAAATTAAATACAACTTTTGCAGAAAACAGTTTCATTAGTGTGTAAAAAAAACTGTTAGTATTGCTTTTTCAACTCTTGTAAATACATGATAATGTATTGGTAAAAAAAAATATTGGATTAAAAGGTCTGCGCCAGTGTGAGTTGAACTCACACTGGCGCAGAGTCGAAACGTCGCTTCGCGTCCTTTTTGTATTTGTATAACACAAATAAAGATGAATATGTCATAAGCGAAAAACATGACACGTCGCGATGCTTCGACTTTGCGCCAGTGTGAGTTGAGCCTAATAGCATAGTAGAATAAGAACAACTACGTACCCAATAACAGCGCAGCTACAGCAACAACTATGTACGGACGCACACATTCATTTATTTAGTAACAGTAGAGCTTCTTGTGAAAGAGTTCGTCTGGAGTAGTACTGACACCTTACCTATTTCCCCCGCCAAGCAGTAATGTCAGTATTACTGTGTTCCAGTTTTGAATCACAGGCACATGGGACTTGTCAACTTGTGGCTCAGGGTGACATCGACCGCTAAGACTGTACAAATAATTACTACAAGCCTATTCACAATTCCTTTTTAATTGCTTATGTAGAACTAGAAAAACGACACTTGATTAACTGCCTCTGTGGCCCAATGCCAAGAAGAGGTCCCAGGTGCGCTTCCCGGGTCGGGAGAAATATTTGTATGGTATATATTTATTTCTCTCGTGAGTTTGGGTGTAATTTCTGTGTCCTTGGCACTCGCGACACAGGGTTTTCCTAGTGTTGAGTGTGTGCGTTATTATTATTATTATGACAATCATTAAATTCTTGTTATACATTTCTGAAAAAAAAAAATGTTTACAAACCCAATTCCTTTGTTTACCTTATTTATAATGTTTCAAAAAAGAAAGATAGCTTTAAGCAACTATAATGTGTCAAATTCAAATACAATTCAAATTCAAAATAATCTTTATTTCATAGGTAAGCATTATTACACTTGAAATCGTCACAATGGTTAAACTCTACCGCTCATTCGTAAGGCAGATTCCCCTGAGAAGAATGATCAAGAAACTCTAGGGGTTGCTCTTTGTAAATAACATTACAATATTTTTTTATTTGAAACATAAGAGATCGAGACTTCCTCCATTAGCTAAACGGGTTACTACCACGGATTTTTGTCATCCAAGTACACAGAAGTTGTATAATAACCTTTAGTATAAAGTTTTTGTTTCACTATAGTTTTAAACCTCGTCAAAGGCAAATTTTGTATATCAACCGGAATCTTGTTATAGAAGCGTATACATTGCCCCTTAAATGATTTTTTGACTTTGTGAAGACGACTATCAAGAAAAGCTAGTTTATTTCTATTCCTCGTATTAATGTTATGTCAGTCACTATTTTTCACAAAGAAATTACTATTCCTTTTAACATAAATTACATTTTCATAAATGTACTGTGAGGCTAGTGTAAGAATGTTAATTTCCTTAAACTTATCTCTCAAAGATACTTTGGGGCCCAGATTGTAAATTGCCCTAACTGCACGTTTCTGCAGGACAAAGATTCTATTAATATCGGCGGCATTACCCCAAAGCAAAATGCCGTATGTCATTAGACTGTGAAAGTAGCTGAAGTAAACCAATCTAGCGGTTTCGACGTCTGAAAGTTTCCTTATTTTTTTAATCACGTACACTGCAGAGCCGAGCCGTTTTGATAACTTACTTATATGGGGACCCCATTGCCATTTAGCATCTAACGTTATACCTAGAAATACAACTGTATCCACAAGATTCAATTTTTCGTTTCTAACTACAATGTTTGTAACCGTCTCTCTAACATTGGGTAATGTAAATTTTACACAATTTGTTTTTTTCTCAATAAGAAGTAGGTTATTAACAGCAAACCAATAAACTACTTGTCATGAAAATGTGTCAGTCTGTTACAACAATGGTCTTATCTCTAAGTAAGGATTCCCCTTACTTTAACTACACACGCCTAATGTACTTTGTGCCACTGAAGTTTAAGTCTGTTTTTTAACGAGACTTGGTGCTGTTGGTACGGGCGGTAAATGATAACCTCACGCTAAACAAATTCTTTCAACTTTGACCTAAAAATTTTGTTATTATATGAATTGGTATTTCCAATAATTTATTCCTTTTAATTGGATGTTTTTAAATATCAGTCTTGGTTACTGGTAGGGATGCACATTCCTATTCGATTTTTATGAAGATCGATTGAAGGTATACAATCTAGCGATTTTGTCAATACACCGTTAATTTCAATGCAATTTGTAAGCAGTTAATAACATACGTCATGATTATAATATTTAATCCATTTTTTTATAACATCAAGTGACAGGGCGTACAAGTCATGCGCCTGATGGTAAGCTAACACGCCTGTCCATGACAATTACAGTGCCACTCAGAGCTTTAAATTGCAAAGATCTGAGGGGCACTGCCACTGCGCCCGTCACCCTGAGACGTAAGTTGACAAGTCCCATGTGCCTGTAATTTCATCAATACACTTACCATTCGAAACCGGAACACAGTAATGCTGCCATTTCTGCTTTCACAAGGAGCTCTACTGCTTATTAATATAAATAAATAATAATCCATTGACTTACAATTATATGGACGTCGGGTACGCGCTAAAAAGTGTTCGAACTTATAGGGCGTTAAAATCGTATTCACGCTTTAGTCTTCGTTTGTTCGACTTACAGCGAAGCAAGCAAAATTAGACCGTACTGCGATGGCATTACAATTTAAATTCAACGTTTTAGCTTTTTCATATTCCTTTACATGTCACTACGTTTAAATAGGTTGACTTGGGACTTTTTTTCGTGGTTTTTGTATTAGACCCGTCGTCCATTTATATGTAAGTCAATGTAATAATCTCAACAAATACACTATCAGCAATATGTACCTGTAATAATGTTAAGGCTTTAGTCAATAGAATAGGGTTACAATTAATTTAATCTATTCAGATTTTTGTCATTTGCTATGCCCTTACAGGGTCCAAAATGAACTTAATTTATGTTACCTTCCACCTTGCAAATATATAACATTATGGTATGCAATAACGTATTGAGTAAGGTATTGAGCATAGGTAGTCCTGCGTAACTATGTGCTTATGTTATTGAGCTATTTACACGTCTGTATCGCCTCTCGCTTGAGACTGGTGTAGTTCTCAGGTCGTGGTAGCTTGCAAATGTGCAAATAGTGCCTAAAAAAGGAAGCAGAGCTGACCCTGTGAACTATAGATGTATCTCAGTCACTTCCATATTCTGCAAGTCTGTAGAACGTGTACTTAACAACCGTCTCCTGTCGTACCTTGAAGACAACGATCTCCTCAGTGATCGCCAGTACGGATTCCGAAGAGGGCAATCTACTGGGGATCTTCTTGTGTATGCCTCTCACTTATGGAGCGAGGCTATAGAGGACCATGGCGAAGCCATCACAGTGACTTTAGACATTTCTAAGGCCTTTGACAGGGTCTGTCACGCAAGCCTTTTAAGCAAGCTTCCCTTTTATGGGCTTCCCACTGACCTTTGCAATTGGATTTCGGATTTCTTGAGTGAATGTTCGATTTGAGTGGTCTTAGATGGCTACTCTTCCGAACATAGGGTAATAGATGCTGGAGTTCCTCAGGGTTCTGTACTGTACGCAACCCTCTTTCTGCTGCATATAAACAATATGTTGATACCTTTGTCCAGGTACCTTTGGGTATGCTGATGACAGCACAGTTGTGGACAGGTACTTGACCAATGCAAGGGTCAGTGGAGAAGAAATCCAGTCTTGTCGAGAGTCCATGGTTAGTCGTTTGAATTTAACACTTGAGGCAGTCTCCGATTGGGGCGATACCAATCTTGTCAAATTTAATGCTAACAAAACGCAGGCGCACTATGTATTTAGTAGAACTAGAGCTGCTTGTGAAACCGCCAAGGAACCGCCAAGCAGTAATGTCAGCATTGATGTGTTCCGGTTTTGCAGGGTAACGGTGCTGGTGAAATTACAGGCACATGGAACTTGTCAACTTATGTCTCAGGGTGACGGGCGCAGTGGTATTGCCCTTAAGATCTTTGCAATTTAAAGCTCTGAGTGGCATTGTAACTGTTATGGACAGACTTGTAGTTTACCATCAGGCGTACGACTTGTTCGTCGGGACGAACAATTACGTCACTTGATATTATAAAAAAAATGTCATCAGATTCTGGTTTATATCCAATATTTATTGGTTGGATGGTAATGTTTTCACTGCCATAATATTTTTGTATGAAAATACATCTCCAGTTTCTTGTTACTGTTGATAAAAATAGCGATAAACACCCTAGTGTAGCTCCGGTTTGGCGTACAATTGCTGGTTCGAAGGACGCATTCTTTGTGTTTGATAATCTAAAATAAAAAAATCTTAATGTATATAAAAATAATACCTTTTTCTATAAATCTTTCTATCCTTTTTTATCAATAAAAAATTAGTTCATACAAGACACAATTACGTGTACCTATCGCTTGAGTTTTAGCTTTTGATCATTTTGTGTTCCGTTGTATTGTTATCACTATTATTTTTAACTATTTAAACAAATCACTTTGTAAATTTATTTATTAATTTTATCGTTTTTGATTTGGAGATTGTAATTTTACACTAACCTAATACTAAGACAAATTTTATCTAGGTGTGTACACTGTTTTTGGAATGTGGTCTAGGTTATAAATGTATCAAATTGTATCTGTTACCATGTGATAATTATATTCTGTTTGTGTACCTTTCAAATTAAATAAAAAAATAATACTAACAAAATACTGGAATATTTTCACAGAAATATATGTTAGTAAAAACATCATGAACCTTTCGGCGTTACGTTCAATAAAATAAATATTATAATTAATAAAGCGACATCTCTTGTCAGCGGCTGGTAGCTGTAAAGCTGGATTAATGAAGAAAAAACTTTCATAGATTACTTACAGATGGCTATGGCAAAAAGCTCAAAAATATGTGCAACAAGCACATAAATTCGTGAGGTCTGCTGACTCGTTCTGTAGCACAGTTGGGAGAGCGGTAGCTCCGATATTGCGTACAGTCGCTAGTTCAAGTCCAGCCGGATCAAAGGAACTTTTCTGTGTGTTTATGTGATATTTGTATCAATAATGACAAGAAACTACTATAATTTATTTTCTTTTCAGCTATCAAGCATAGGATTACAACCAAAAACTTAGCTGGATTCAAGAATGCTTTAGACTTCATAAATGTATACGGTGGAGGCGATTGCCCTGAGATGTGTATGACTGGAATTAAAAAAGCTTTAATTGAAAGTCGGCCGAGATCTTTGCTATACATATTTACTGATGCCAGTGCCAAAGATTACGAAAAGTATGAAGAAATTAAAGATTTGGCCCAGAGAAAGCTTAGTCAGGTGAGATTTTCAATGCAATTGAATAGCACAATGAACTTTATATCAGTTATATATAACGTACAAATCGACACCGGCAATTAACAGATCTTGCGTTAGCGGCATTAAAGCCTAATTATCAGAAATTAAGAAAATAATACAAAAATAACAACCAAAAACCAAAATTAACATAAAACGCTATCAATGTGACACGTTGTGTACATTTGAAAGAAAGAAATACATAAATAAAGCCGTTAGTTTAATAGTTAGTTAGTCACTTTGGTCGACCCGTGTGCTAAAACTAGTGGTAAATTGTCTGAACAAGGGTGATACCACACGTGCGCTGCCGGTGCGTTGCGTCCTCGCAACGCTTTGATTTCAACGCACCGAGTGCCACATGAGCAATGCGGTGTTGTACCTAAGTGCTAACCTTAACCTAACCTAACGCCGCTTAAGGTTGTTTTCCACCGGCGAGGCGAGAAGAGACGAGGAGAACTAGTATTGAAATCTAGCTGGCCTATTTCCACCTACCAATCGGTATTACTTAAAAGATCGCACGAGCCATTGCGTGCTCGCTCGCGCTGTGATTGTGGATAGTGAAGATTCAGTGCTGTTCAGTTCATCTAGCGATAAATACGCGGCTGATGTAACATGTTCCGTAAATTATTATTATTAAATATGTTAACGGAAGAAACCAACTTTTTTTAAATCTTAAGTCGTGTCTCGCGATTGATGGCAATAGCCATCGCGAGCTCGCGAGACCTTCTGCAAGAACCCGCGTTTCCTTTAAAGAGTATAATACTCGAAATAAGATATTTATTTAATCTCGTTACAAAAAAGAAAATAAACTAGGTTAAAGCTTAAACTATAATATACAGAGAACCAAAAAGGTCACCATACTTAGCATGTGACGGGTTGCTAATAAAACGGACGGGCGCTGATATTCTATGGCCACCATGAAATAGAATAAACGCCACTACAATTAACATACATTTTGAAACATCACAATAAGCAATAACAACATTTTACCACACACAAAAATATACACTACAATATTTTATAACATTTGCGGCACTTAAGAATCTACACAAAACAAAAAAGAACAAAAAATTAAAACATTTTACCCCACCGTCATACCTCTTTTGAGTTTCCATTAAATACAATTTAAAATTACGCATTTGCAATCGCGCTAATAAAGGGTTTTTCAACAAGAACTTTGTTTTGTAAATCAAAATAAAACAATAATTTTATTTTATTTATTCAAATTTTTAGTGTATTAAAAAAAGTACAGTTTGGCAATTATTAATGAAAAATGATATCTGATAAATGTCCACCATGACCACAGTTACAGATGTCGATTCTTTCGTCAAAGTTTTTAATCACTTTTTGACAAAATGGTGGGTCTATTTCGTTAATCACTTCACGAATTTTGAGTTCTAAGGCTGCAATCGATTCGATTGGCTCCGTACAGACTCTGTCTTTAACATAACCCCATAAAAATAATCCAGCGGTGTTGAATCACATGATCGAGCTGGCCACTTAACGGCTGAATTTCGTGAAATTATGCGATCGGGAAATTTTTGGTTTGCAATAAATTCATTGTTTCGGTAGCTGTGTGATTGTGTGAGCAGTAGGGATCGCCCCCTTCGAACTCTTCAGCGCACACTGGGGGCGTAGGAACCACTTTAAGAAAAAATGATATACATCATCATACTCGTACTGGACATGGGTTTTCTCTAAAAAGGTCGTTTAGGCTAATTTAGTTCACCACTATGGTAATGTTAATTCATATCTTTTTCAGATTATCTTCGTTCTAACGGGAATGTGTGGCAGCGAAAAAGATCCTCATTACAAGGTGTTCGAATATCTCGCCACGGCTACGTCTGGACAGGTCTTTCACTTAGATAAATCTGGGGAGGTTCATAAGGTAATTTCTTAAAAAGAGCAACAACTTTAACCAAACAATGTAATATACCAGAAATCACTATTTCTGGAATATTACATTAATATATATATATTACATTAATGTACAGTAAAATATGTTAATAAAGTCACGTAGCTGTAAAGGTACCTGGCAGAATGAAAATGAACCATGGTCTTTTTCAGACGAGTTGTAACGTGTTGATGCAACGTGACATCCTTACTAGGCATCGAGTATACAACCAGAAATAGAGACGAAATGTCATTTAATTTGTTTGAAAACTATTCTGCCAAATCATTACTGTGACAACTGCGCTCCGATTGGACAGCCCGAATTCGAAACAATTGACGGGTGTCGTCAATTGTTTCACTTCAAATCGATCAGTTTGACTTGAGCTTTGCTACAATGGATAAAAATTTCAAAATTACATATTTAATATTTAATTACCGTTTGTTTCGTAATTAGAAGTTTTGCTGTTTTTCCCACACCACTGAATGAAACAGCCCCATTGTTAGAGATATTATCTTTATTGCAATAAATACAGAATATTTTTGGAATATACGGAGACGTACACACAGGTCAGTTGTTGGCGCCGCTGTACTATTTCCGCTTTCGAATTTGTGATTTCGGCGCAAACGAGAATTGATATTTAAAAGTGATATAATTTGTCTGATGAGTTACCAGGGATGAACGGCCCTTATTTCGTCTCTATTTCTGGTTATATACTTGAATTTTTTCTGAGTGTTTTTTCTGAGTGTTCGATCTTTGTATTAATAATTATAACAAACTAGTGGAGTAATTTCACAAAAAATAATTGAATATCAATTCAATAAAAATTTAATTAATACAGTGAATAGCGACATCTCTCGCCAGGACTGGTAGCAGTAAAGGTAGTAACTGGGTGATAAATCTGTCATAGATTTCTCATAGATGGCGCTACGACTAAAAAGTCGTTCAAAGACCAAGTACAAAGACACGACGCAAGCACATAGAAAAATTCGTGAGGTCCGTTGGTTCGTTCCGTGGCTTAGTTGGTATAGCGTCTGGCACGGTATGCAATAAGACGTCGGTTCGAATCCGACCGGATCGAAGGAATTTTTTCTGAGTGTTCGATCTTTGTATTAATAATTATATATACTCGATGTTTGTAAAATACTAATATTGACATTGTGTTACTAATATCATAAATAACAAATTTTGTTACATGACTCTTAATAATTGAACAGATTTTACTTTCGCACAAAAATAAAAATATTTCAATAGATCGCTCATAGGCGGTGACAACACTGTGCGGTAATAAAAGAACACCAGTCCGATGCAAAACGCAGGAGCGGGGCTGGGGGTCGTCGGGGACGATGCTTGTGAGTTTGAACTTGCTACCAAATACAGATCTAAGTCAAACTCAAAGTTAAATTTTTATTTTTCTAAGTAAGCAAATTACACTCAAATCGTCGTACTAATAAAACTCTACTGCTCATTCTTAAGGCAGATTCCTCTGAGAAGAATGAGCAAGAAACTCTAGGGGTTGCTTTTTGTACTTTTTGTTATAATATCAGGATGAACAAGTCGTACGCCTGATGTTAAGGGACATGCCCGTCCATAACAGTTGCAGTAGCACTCTGAGCTTTAAATCGCAACGATCTGATGAGCACTGCCACTGCGCCCGTCACCCTGATACAAGTTGACAAGTCCCATGTGCCTGTAATTTCACCAGCCCTTCAAAACCGGAACATAGTAATGCTGATATTACTGCTTGGCGGCAGAAACAGGTAAGGTGGCAGTACTTCCCTGGACGAACTACTGCTACTAAAAAAGTGTGGGGCTATGTTGAGTGTGTGCGTTACTTACTTACTCACTATCATTATAATATCGTCCACGTTTTGTAGAAAAACTTAAGTTTTTTGGGAAAAGTTATGGAACAAACGTTGTTGTTTATGATGTTAGTAATATAGTCCTGCGAGACTTAATTTGATGAATAATTCTGTACAAGAATAGGGTGGTTTGCGTTAGTATTGGACATTAATGCATACCGCTCTGTTTTATGACTAAAACCAATGATATTATACTTCTGAAACCATCTCAGTCAGTCGTAACTATGGGATCTATAATAATCTCAGTACAGAGTACTAAAAAAACCGACCTCAAAAGTACATGGAATTACGTCTATTTGCTAAGTTTTATTGAAATATCCCCTAGTTCGCCACTATACAGGACTTGACACTGGAGATAATAAAAATAGGTTCTCACTACGACAATACTCAAAGTATATTGCAAGAAAAACGCCTTGAATTGGAGAAATAGCAAAATAAACCATTAAAGTAATTGCTCCTAAATTAAAGTTAGGCGCTATTTATAAAAATGAATCTTTATGCGTGAACAGCCACCCTCCGAGGTGGATGATTTTCTTCAAAATGAAATGGGACCACTGTGGAAGTACCCTCTTTCCAACAAAAAAAGAATCATGAAAATCGGTTCACAAATACCGGAGTTATCGCGTAACATACATACAAAAAAAAAAGAAAAAAAAAGAACATAAAAATATAAATATACGCGATATTTATTTTATTGAATTTTGTGGTGTTTTTACTAACAGGATATTCATATAATTCACCGACTTCAAAAAAAAGGAGGAGGTTCTCAATTGGACTGGTTTTTTTTGTATATTTGTCAACCGATTATGTCTTTTTTTGTAGGAAAAGTGTACCACAGTATTGGTCCCATTTAAACTTGAAGAAAATATTCCAACTCTACGGGTGGTAAACTAGGGTATGAATGTGGTTTCGCGCACTTTCCGGTAACCGATTTCAATAAAACTTGGCAAATATATGTATATCCACGAACTTTTGAGGTCGGTTTATTTAATATTCTGTACTGAGATTATTGCTAACATGATACTCATACATTTTTTGTGAAAATACTCCACGAGTTTGCTATATATACTCTACTACTTTGTTATAATTATTCATACAATAATTACAACTTTTTTATTAAAAAATTCGTACTCAAAAGTTTGCTTACCGGCTTTTTTATTGGAATTACGTCTACTTGCCAAGTTTTATTGCCATTGGTCAATGGAAAGTGCTTGAAACCGGATTCATCCCCTACCTTTCCACCCTTAGAGGTGGAATATTTTCTTCAAATTCAAATGGGACCAATACTGAGGTATCAATTCTTTTCAACAAAAAAAGACGTGATTTTGAATTCGGTTAAAAGTCGAACAAGACAAAGAAATATTCCTTCAATCCGGTTGGATTCGGAACAGCGACTTTGCCGTACAGCTCTCCCCACTGAGCTGCAAATTGAGTCAGCAGATAAACTTAAATCTTTTGCAGATTTTAAAATACGTCGAGGAATTGGTGAAAAGCAGAAAAACCGTTATAGCCAATAAAGATTTTCCACCTGGCCCTAATACGTTTACGGTAAGTTTAAGTTAACAGGTAGTAGTTATCCAAAAAAGGAGAAACTGCGAGTACGTGTAGAGTCTGTGTGAGCGTGTATTGTGTGATCACTGTGTTACCATGTATGTGTGGTTGTGATATTAGTGTCAGTAGTGGAATGTCACAATCGCACCGCACGACTGCCAGTGCTGTTGGACACATGGCTAGATAATAAAAATTTCTTAAAAGACAATTTGAAGGATGCAACAGATTTGTAATTTCTTAATGGTGCTGGAATGTTGTTCCAACATTTCGTGGCAGCGAAACGGAAGCTACCACGAAAGGCAGCCGTGCGGTGCGGTGGACACACAAGTCGAATTGCAAAGCGAATACTTCGTTGGGAAAACGTAAGCTTTTCGAATAGGTATGAAGGCTCTCGATTTATTATTACTCCGAAAAGTAAAGTAGCAAAGTGCAGCTTACATCGCGCATCCATATTCAGGAGGTTATGTCTGTTTAACAATGGGGTAATGTAAAAATAATGTGTTTACGAGGTTTTTTTTCACCGAAATTAATTTTGCACATAAACACAGGACACAGATACAGGACAGGTCGTTTTGGCGTTCTTTGGGGTAGGTCTTACCCCAAACAATGCCAAAACGAGTGTGTTCAGTAGTGGATGTCTGAAATGATGGTGATGAAACTTCATACTTTTGATGACTCTCCATACAAAATTTTCACCACTTCTAACATTTATTTCTGTGCCAAAAAGTGGCCGATGTCCTTCTCCTAGGTCACATTCATCTCTATCAAAATTCATCAAAAATGATTCAGCGGTTTAGGCGTGTAGAACGTAATAGAGTTACTTTCATATTTATAATATTTTTTTAGATTATTGGAGAGAGAACGTTCTCGCATCTCGCTTTTCAAACTAGAACCGGTACTGCGATTTCTCAAATGTCCTATCTTTAGCAGTTTAATTACCTAGCAAGTTACTTAAAGACTCCTAACATTATCAACGTTAATGTTAGTGTCCGTGTCTGCAGGTGGAATTGACCGAAATATTTATGGACCTCGACCTTCTTCGTCAACCGTTCATAATCACAGCGATCATAATAACAAAAACGTCATTCGCGATATTTTTGGGTTGTTTTTCCTATATCAAATATTAATCTGAAATATTTTATGCTGACAATACCAAAGCTTTTAGACTGTCATTTGCTGACAGGTCCATTTCTGTCGGGCCACCAAAATATCTGTAAATACGTCCTACAAGGATGTATTTACAGATACTCATCAACACTCTCTTAACCCTTTATGATAATGACCGATCGCTACTAACACTGCATTATTACAAAAGCCGGGAATTGAGTTATTGCCGGACGAGTAACAGTTCGTGGGTTCTCTGAGTTTCTACAATTTACGTTCGAAATTTAATTTGAAATTTACCATGAGCTTTTCGATGACGGAAAATATTGCGAGGAAACCTGCATACGTCTATAATGCAACTTAATTATGTATGTGAAGTTTCCAGTTCGCATTAGGCCTGCGGAGAAACTACAGTCCAAGCCTTGTCATTGTGAGAGGAAGCCTGTGTCCATACCAGAAATAGAGACGAAATGTCATTTAATTTATTTGAAAACTATTCTGCCAAACCATTACGTTGACAACTGCGTTTCGACTGGCCAGATCGAATTCGAAACAATTGAGTTGTCAATTGTTTCACATCAAATCGACCACTTTAACTTGAGTTTTGCTGTAATGGACGGAAATCGAAAAATTTCATATTTCATTACCGATAAAACGTGATTCCTCTTGTTTTGTAATTAGATGTTTTGCTGTTTTTCCCACACCACCGAATGGAACAGCCCCCCATTATTGCAGATATTATCTTTATTACAATAAATACAGAATATTTTTGGAATATGCGGAGACGTACACACAGGTCAGTTGTTGGCGCTGTATTATTTCAGCTTTCTTATTTGTGATATTTAAAAGTCATTACAAAGCCTCTTTGCCTAATGAGTTGCCAGGGATGGCGATCCTTATGTCGTCTCTATTTCTTGTTATATACTCGATGCCTATGTCCAACAGTGGGACCATATAACATAGGCTACATATTATTAATATAATGTGTTTGACAACAACACCATTTGCCTGGTGTCAAACTAGGAAATTCCCTGTACTATGAGTACCAGAGCAATGGGAGTTACTCTGGGATACTTCCCGGAACATCCAGACCAGAATTTATTTAGAAAAGTTAATTTCCCAAATTGGTCCTGCCAAGAATCGAATCGTTGGGCCTCCGAGGTCTTCAAATTGTCATTTCTGTTGAAGCAAATTGTTTTGTTTTTGAGTATTACATTATAATAAATCACATATATTTAATTCTTCAGGATATAGCTAAAGAAATCTCTGGTTACTCACAGCTAATTGCCAGTAGCAGGAAAAATTGCCTCTACTCTAGGCGTGATACTTTTTGGACGTAAAGGCAACATTTCGGAGCCACTTTGAGAAGTACCCATTTCGACTGAGTTTATAATACTACAAGGTCGAAAATAAATTTATGTTGCGTTTGTTATGTATCCAGATATGCGAAGAAATGTAATAGCAGGTCAACGCACATGTATTTGCAGCAGAAATATGCGCCCCGTGCATTACAACTTGACTGCTGACAAATATTATTTTATGTACTAATTATAAGTTACTTTTTGGCCCAACGTTCCTAACATCGGACGTAGATTAAATTCCTTTAGTTTAGAAATCTATAGTGGTTAATATAAGTTTAATAACTTTTCTCATTTTTACTTCACCTCCACTGCGGCCACCCTATATAATTCGCTCGGTTGGTTCTGAGGCACGTTGAGTCCTGTGGTATTTTGTGTCCATCGGGCAACCACCAAATTACGCCTTTGCTTACCAGACCTTACCGAGGTACACAAAAGAAGCCTCTCCGCACGGCGTAGCATTCCTTTTCTGTACGTTTGGCGCACCTAGTACGCCGATTTGCAAATCTTTTACAATGATTGTGGTATATGCCATCGGTACGATAACAACAACAACTGGACTTTATGGCTGTTTATTAATACTGACCTAAGATTATGAGACTCTGTTTTATCTTTGCAGTACGAAGTTGATAGCAAAATGAAAGAACTAGTCATATCGGTAGCTGGAAGAGATCCAAGTGTGACTGTAACTGGACCTGATGGTAAAACTGCCGCCACAGAGGACATCACTCGGACGTCTACTATTGCTGTAAGTGCTGAGTAAAAGATTCAAAATGTTTCAAGTTCTTAAGTTTTTGTTATTGGTATATATTGGAAATGATACTATATTAGACGTGGTCGAACGCGTCGGGGGCAGCTTGTGCAGCTCCTTTGCCACGATTCTAAGCACGTCATCTGGGTCAGTCTCCTTCAGGAGTGCACAATTTATGTAACTTATTACACAAAAACACAACCGCTGTTGTACGCCTCAGTACGAGTCAAAGAAGTGTCCTCTTAGTACTCTTCTTGTCATAATACCACTTGTATTATCGTATTGAAAAGATCCGGATCAAAATTACAAAGGATGTTAAAATTATTGCATCCACGCCATATGAACTCGTTTTGCCTGTAATTTGTACGAGTCTGTGTTTGAACGTAGCCGCAGTAATATAGTAGCAGAAGAGTTTCTTGTAAAATAGTTCGTCCTGGGGGCCTACCACATCCTCTTAAAACAATATTACTTTAACCTTACATTGATTTTTCGTACCATGACGCGCTTAAAGTAAGCTTATTATAATGTTACAACTATGGTGTTTTATTGGCAGCTTTGTGACTATTCATTCACTCAGTTCGTACTATGACGCGACTTAACATTAAAGTAATATTGTTCTTATGTCAAATTTAGCAATCTTAAAATAGTTACATGGATGCAATGGAAACAATATTATTTTCAGTTTTATTGTCTTAATATTGATTTGTAATGATTAAAAGTCATGTTGAACTTATATATTTACATATATCTTTTCAATATTTTGTTTATTTTTTATTTAACAGCACATAGGAAATAATATCTCGTTAAATAAAAATACGCGATGTTTATTTCGTATAATTATGATAGCACCATCTATATGCTCCTTGGCGAAACTAACAGTTGACACTAGACTATAATTCCGAATTCACAACGTGACCATCAAGACTTGGCTTGTTTTATTTATTTTTCTTCATGAAAAACTTCTTGAAGCTCTTCACGTAAAATTAATATTGCACAATGGCAACTTCACCGCCGAATCCACCACCACGATCACAAGCGATCGACGACCTGATGGCAGTCACAGTATCTTCGGGAATACCTATTTTTGGACAGATCAACCTAGACTGTGGTTCATTAGAACGGAAGCAGTTTTAGCACCACAAAAGTTGAGCGACGACGCAAAATTCGATCTAGTTGTTTCGAAATTAAATAAAGACGCAATCGACAAGCTCTAAGAATTTCTAGAACCACCACCTGGTACAAACAAATTTACAGCATTAAGAGACAAATTATTAGCAAAGTACCAAGATAGTAACACGCGACAACGAGATGGAATTAGGAGATCAAAAACCCTCACAGCTACTTCACTGCATGAAGGACCTCGCGCGAAACAAATTCCCATTAGATACCTTGAGTGTTCTATGGCAAGGCCACCTGCCTGCGACCGTCCGAGCTGTACTTGCTGTTGCAGACACAAAAAATATAGACCAGCTAGCACACGTAGCAGATAAAGTAGGAGAAGCAATGCGTTTAAATCAGGTTGCAGAAGTGCATCAACCGCAACCAAGTACGAGTGCTACAACCAGCGATGTTGCTTGCATGGTTGCCGAAATAGCAAAGTTGTCAGCGGAAGTACAACACCTCAAACGTAGCAGATCCAGAAACCGTAATTTCGGTAGGCGAAACTGTTCAACGTCTCGTAGAAGATACGGGACACGGCGCCCGGCGACGCAACGACGACACCATACTGCAGAAACCTCTCCAGATTGGTTATGCTATTGTCATTACAAATTGCGTAATAGAGCATAGAAGTGCGAGCAGCCCTGCGCTTGGAAAGACAAGGCGGAAAACTAGATCGCACGGACCGAGTTGTGGCGGCAGCCGGCTCCGTGTTATCTAATCACCGTCTTTGCATCGCAGATCGTACCAGTGGACTTCGTTTTTTAATAGATACGGGTGCCAACGTATCAGTGCTACCGGTAGTTTGCGGCAAACGGAAGTGAAATTAAGACATACGGAATCAAAACATTAGTGCTTGACTTAAATTTACGTAGACAATTTCGTTGGAACTTTATCGTAGCCGATGTAACACAACTAATTTTGGGTGCAGACTTCTTAGCGTACTACAAATTGTTAGTAGACCTGAGAAGACGTCGAGTAGACCAGGTAACTGGCCTAATATGAATAAAGATATTGGTTTGTGGGCAAAAATCTGTGCACAGTGTCAACGTTCTAAAGTAAACAGGCACACAGTTTCACCTTTAGGTCAGTTTCATGCAGTAAATCGTTTCGAGCATATCCATGTGGATATAGTCGGTCCACTACCGACATCTCCACAAGGATATAAGTACTTGGTAACAATGTTAGATAGAAATACCCGATGGCCAGAAGCTATTCTCATTGCTGAAGTAACAGCAGACACAGTTGCAAAAGTAATTTATGAGCACTGGATCACACATTATGGATGTCCAGTTTGGTTAATTAGCAATCAAGGTAGACAATTTGAAAGCAATTTATTCAGTAGTCTGATGAAAATCATGGGAATAAACAAAATTCGTACAACACCCTATCATCCAGAAAGTAATGGTTTAGTCGAACGCTGGCACCGCTCATTGAAAGCGGCCCTTTCGGCTCGTTGCGTAAACAATACGACATGGTTATAAGAATTACCTACAGTCTTATTAGGTTTAAGAAATGCTTGTCGTAGTGATAGTGGTATTTCTGCTAGCGAATTAACCTTTGGGCGAACCTTACGTATGCCGGCAATTTTTTCGAAGTTTCAAAAGAAATTACTCCTATCGACCTCTTTAGTACTGTAGAGAAAATTAGTAAAGCGTTACAAAATCTTAATTCAGTCAACAAGGCACATAACAGTAATACAAAATTTTTCGTACATCCTGATTTAAAAGATTGCGATTTTGTTTTTGTAAGAGATGACACAGTTCGTAAACCTTTAAAACCACCATACGATGGTCCGTATCGTGTACTTGAAAGAGGTACAAAAGTTTATCTAGTGCAATTGCCCTATAGGCAGGCTCATACACACATCAAAAAAAGTTTGCGATCAATAGCATAAG